TGAGTGTACGAAATGAAATGCATTCACTGCCATATATTGTATATGACAATACCCGAATTTAAAAATAACAAAGTCAAGAAATCGACCATTTTGTAAGGAACCTTTTTCCTTGTTTGATGAATGTTTCATGAATACCCTTAATAAGGGTATTCATGAAAGTCGTTTTAACTATAGAATACTACTCTTAAAATATGTTTATATGTATATCATCCTAGAACTGGTCAATATTAAAAATATTCTCCATATTAAACCCGTTTTGGTTCTCCTTTCTCTAGATTAATCAAAAATTTACAATAATAATAACAATTTTGGGTGGTAAAATTCGACAGCACTACCGTATTGCCAACATTGATCTGATAATAAAAAAAAATTTTAGGTCAATTCGATTAAACAACTTCCCGCAATTTTTAAAATGCTTTTATTCGATATTTTTATTAAAATTATTTTAATAATTTTCACATAAAGTCATACTATTATCTAAAAAATTCTATATTATGATATATTGAATTCCGATTTATTTTAATTACGTAGTGACTACAACAAGTCGACCTTTACGTAAACTACTTAAGAAATAATTCTCTCTTCAGTTGCGGTTTTCATAGTATTATTTAGAAAATTTCAAATGAGTTGTTTCACTTTCTGGCAAAACTAAGCGCCTGTTAAAAAGTTTAATACAAATGTTGGTAACATTGTACAATAATTTATAAAATTAGTGTTGTGTTGTTGTGTTTACTGCTAAATGCAGCTACACACAAATGGCAACAATATTTTGTTGAAATTTATTTTTATTTAACAGATTTGAATGTAAGGAAATGAAAAATTTCAGTTTTTTTTGAATTCGTTTGAAAGGAGTTGCCAATTATGATGATGTTGAAGTGAATGAGGGTGGTTAAAGTTTGAATTTATTTTAAGTTTTTCCTACAATGTTTTTTCCCTTTAAAATACCATTGTACTGAATACATACATACTTACATATTTTAAAACAAAAACAATCCCTTAAATTTTTTACTTACTTTTCTCCATACAAAAAGTACGCTGTATATTCATGAAATATTTCTTTTGTACATATTTTATTGTTGTAATTTGTTTAAAAATAACGAAAATATACTACAACATTTTTTGTTTAACAACATTGTTGTCGTCGTATCGGTCTACTGAAGAGCGATGAACATTTTTGAAATTTTTGTTTATTTGGCTGCCATATTTTGCTGTTTTCCTAATACAAATGATGTGGATTGTAGTCATTCTTTGAAATTTTGAAATTCTCCAAATTCCAACCCGAACAACCCGACGGACGATGAATGAAAAAATGCGGTGTGAGTGAGATAGTGTTGAGTGAATGTTAAGAAAGAGAAGGGAAATAAATAATGATGATTATAAATAATATTTCATTATTATAATGATGATAAACGATAATGACAAAAAGTAAATAAATAAATATGTAAGTACATATTTATGTACGTACTTACATATGTATGTTGAAATTTAAAAAAAGTAGGCAACACAAAAAATTCATTATACCAAAGTTGTTCATGGAAGAATTAGAATTAATTCTGCATGGTCTATATCTTATAGCCTAGTCTATAGTCTAGTCTATAATATATGTATGTATTTGTATATAAAAAATCTAATTTGTATACACTTTGGAGATACTTATGTATGTAGTTGCCAAAATAGGCAAAAATATTTCAACTGCACATCTACATATGAAGCATGGATGCGAATAAGGGCGTAAAGACCACTTTTCCTAATTCGCGTTTTTCGACGGTATAGTCTTCTTTTGGTCTATTTATATCTATTCCTGAAGAGATAAATTGAAAAATCCAAAAATTTCGCCAAAATATTTAGCTTTAATAGCACATTTTTGTAATATTATTTTTTATTTAAGGTAAAAATATCAGAATCATCAAGTATTTTTGTTAAAAATCGTATAAATAATTATTATAATTGCATCAAATTTACAGAATAGGAGGAACACATTTCAATTCCATGAATTCCTTAAATATATTGCAAAAAAATATTATTTTAATAGTAATCTCATAAATATAAGTATATATAAACAAGACAATTTTTGAGTTTTTAAACTGTTTTAACAGTAAGAAGGTTTTCGTCCTTATAAGGCATTAAAGTAATAATAATAACTATAGCTGGCATTGTCCAGACCTCTAACTCCAAAAATATTGGAAATTTAAGGTATAAAAATAGCAAAATAGTGATCTAATCTTTTGTCCTTTAATAATATTAAAGGATAATCAAGGACTTCCTTGAAACTTAAGCAAATTATACTATGGTCTCTTATGTTGATACTGTCCAAGTATTATCCAATTTATATAATATATAATTTAAAAGTTTTATGATATTTTTATGCTCTCCTGTATAATTTCCCAAATGGTTTATACGCCCTTATTCGGCTCTATGCTTCATATATGTATTCTGAATCTTTACACCGTCCAACAAAAAGAGAAAACAAATCGTCAGAAACTATATATTTAATGGAGAAAAACTGCGTTTTTAGTTTTTTACTTCGTGATCCTGTGTCCTTTTTAAAGGACTTCAAAGTTTTAATGACCAAACAGTGTCAAAATTGATGCCAAGAGAACAAGAAAATTTGGAAAATTTTTTTTATTATTTTTATTTTATACTGTCAGGATAAAAAATGTCTAAAATTTGTTTTAAAACGTTAATCATTTATCTATTTAAGTTTTCAATATTATTTTTTCCAAAAAGAATTTGAAAGACATATTGATATATTTTGATCCTGACACCAAATTTTACATAATAGGGTAAGCAGAAGTATTTAAATTTTTTTTAAATGGATCACGAAATAAAAAACTGTGAACGGAGTTTTGTTTAATTTAATCTCTAGTTTCAGACTTATGATATCTGGTTCGTGTCTAATTTTGAGTGTCGAACGGTGTTATAGAATGATTATGTCCAGGAAAGAATTATGTATATGTTCGAAATATGTATGTATGTATATCCCAAAAAAATATGCTAATAAATATGTATTGGTTTTTGGAGATTTTATTTTCTCATATCTTTACTCAATATCTTTATGCTTTAGTTCATTTTAAGTTAATGTTTATCAAAATTTTTGTCCTATGGTCAATATTTGGAGAGCTGTGTCAAAGGATAAAAATTACCTCTTTTAAGGTGTTTTCACGCAAAGAAATGTTATGAAATTGAAATTTTTTTAATTAAATTACTGTTGATATTGAAATAAAGAAAACAATTTTAGAGTATTTTTCTAAATAGAGAGCAGTTTAGGATTTTTTTAAGGTTATTGTACAAATTTATGAATTAAATTGATCTTTTCTATTAAATTTTGGCGATAAGTTACAAATGTTTAATAAGTATTTGTCATCTTTTACATGTTGTTTTTGTATTTTAGCACTACTCAAAGCACCAATTTATGTACATTCATATGTATGTAAAATTACAACTTCATTCACAAGATTCTTTACTTTTAACAGATGATCTTGTCTGCATCCAATATAAACGAATGAATATAATACAATGTTTACATATATACATATGTATGTATAAAACTAAAACAACACTCACTGCACTTGATGATGCGAAATGTAAAAACTTACGCATACTTCCTTAAAATCAAGGTCTACTCGATCAAGTGGAGAATAAAGTAAAATGTTTTTAAAACAAGTTCCTCTTCCTTTGGTTTTGAAAGAAATTGGAAGGCTAAAAACACAGCAAAACATAATAATGCTTAAATATACAATGCATAAAACTACATCAAACCAGGCATCGACCGACCAACACAACACAACCCAGTCATATTCCATTAAAGAAATTAGACGCACTATTGTCCTCATACAAATCCTCTTTGTAACAAGAGACCAGAATTTCAAAAAAATGGAAATTTTTATAAAATGAACTTGAAAGTAACAATAACGTTACTACAACAAAATTAATGCAATAATAATGGTGATGATTGCAAATACTACACATAAGTATAAAAGCAAAAAAAATTAAGAAAAAAAAAAAACGATGCATCATAAGGCAGAAATACCGCAGATACTTAAGGAGAATCCTACGCTGAAAATAAATACAACAAAAATACTTAAATGCTCGATGCCATCGAACCAGCCAGCCACAGCCATTGCCAACCAACCACCAAACAAACATCCAACAAGACACCAGCTAGTCAACCGCACACATTAAGTTTATATTAAAATGAAATGAAACTACATCTGCAGCTTCCCTTGCGTTCCTTATTATAGTAATATATTCCCCAATACTCCATACACACACAAAACTCGAATTATGGCAGAGTTATAAAGAATTATTTCTTTAATGTAGAAAAATTTAGATTTTTTGATGAAATGCATATTTTCTGGTGAAATATCGTTTTTCTAGTGAAAATTTTATTTTCTAGTGCAAATTCAATTTGTTAGTGAAATTTTAATTTTCTAGTGCAATTTCGATTTTGTTGGTGAAAAGTTAATTTTTAGGAGAAATTTTGATTTTCTATTGAAAAGCCAATTTTTTCGTGAATTTCTATGCGAATTCTATTATTTTAGTTAAGTCGTTTTTTTTTCTAAAATGCAGATTTTTTGGTGAAATATGAATTTTCTGATGAAATTTAGATTTTTTGATAAAAAAAAAAAAATTATTTTCTGGTGAAATGTCGGATTTCTAGTGAAAAGTCGATTTTCTAGTAAAAAGTCAAAATTTCCGAGAAAAATGTTTTTTTTTCTGGTGAAATGTCGGTTTTCTAGTCAAAAGTAGATTTTCAAGTAAAAAGTAAATTTTTCTGGTAAAATGTCTATTTTCTAGTAAAAATTCTAATTTCTAGCGAAACTTGATTTTTTAATGATAATTCTAAAAGATACAAACACAAAATTTTATGATATTTCAATTATCATCAGTTCCATTTTAAAGATATTTTACTACACATTTGTCTTTAAATATTTTATTTAAATTAAAAATACATTGTACCTTAAAAATTTAATGAATGTTTAAAATATTAATATTCTCATATGAATATTTTTAATAAATACCAACAACATAAATAGTATATTTAATAAAGTAATATCATTTTCATTTAAAAATATGTAACTGTTTTTGAGCAAAATAAAAGCAACAAAATTAGTCTGATCTAAAAGACAAACATACAACTTTTAGCTTTAATCTGAATTCATTACTTTTCTTCTGCACATAACTGTATACAATTTAGTTTAATAAAATAAAATTATAAAATAAACATGTAATTGCATCTACTGTTTTTCTTGTTTAAAAATATGAAAAATAAATTGAGAAAATATTGGGAGGTGTATAAATATACATATTTTTAATCTTCATATGAATCTACTTTTATTGTTAATATTGTTTGGTTAAAAATTATAATAACAATGTGTTGCGTTTGGAAGTAAAATATCCTGGATTCTTTTATAGCTTTAACAAAATAAAAGTTGTACTATGAAACGTTCAAAATATACTTATGTATGCATAAGTGAAAATACATATTCTTTTGATTTAAAAAAAATATTTAATTTTAGCATAGTAATGATATATTTCCACTCTCATTGCCAGCCAAAAAGGCATGATTTAAAGGTAAAACTGCCAGAGAAGTTAAAACTCCACGGAAATTTTCTGAACGTAATTTGGTAACATTGTGAGAAGCATGAGAACTACTTAGATCAGAATATATGCCAATGCGATTACCGGTGGTGGCATATACCAATTCAGAGCCAATAGTTTGTAGAAAATGAGCAGGTTCAGCGGGGGGCCTAAAAGAATGTTCTTTTTAATAAATAACTAAATAATATGGAAGGTAGACTAATTATTGACTTACATTAACTGATAATGCAAAATACCATCGTGAGCATGCCACACCGCCAAGCTATGATCCAAAGCTGAACTTATCAACTGTTGATCATTTGGTGCTGCTAATTGCAATAAATCACATTCCATGGGTCGCCAGGAATTCATAATCATTCCCGTACGTGTATCCAACATAACAATAGAGCCTGAAGATAAACCCACTGCCATCCAATTACCCGATGGAGCAACCGTTAAACATCGTACGGTGGCATTATTTTGTGTATTTGTACTAACACGCCATTCATTGACATATTGCATGCAACGTGAGTCGATAATTTTCACTGAAGCTTCTGCTGTGCCGGCCAAAACCAAAGGACTGGGTGAAGGTAGACATTTTACTACAGTTATGGGATTATGTTTAGGAGAGTCTAGTATACCCAAAGGTCTTCCAATGAATGGATCCCATATGTGAACACCAGAATCACAAGAAACAACAAAACGCATAGACTCAAGAAAAGCCAGGGAATGTATGGATTTCTTGTGGGCAGTATACGTAAATTGGCAGGATTTCGCTTTTGTACCATCTCCCTCGCTGCGAAGTGACCATAATTTAACGGTTTTGTCCTAAACACGAGACAATAAATTCGGTTAAGCTGTGTTTTAAAAAAACAATTTTGGAAATATAAAATTTAATTGTTAAGTGCTCACCTTTGAAGCTGATATAAAACTATTCTCATTGTCCAAAGCCAAGATTGCACGCACCGAATTCGTGTGACCAACAAACGATTGCAATTTGATTTGTTTCAAATTTAATGTAGTATCCTTATCGGAACGTGTTATCTCATGACGCCAGTAAGCCAACCAATTTCCCTTTAAATGGCGAGTATTTGGTAAATGTTCGAATTTATACGCCACCATATCTAAAACCTCCATAGTATCAAGATTTTGAAGTGGCGCATCATTTGATTTCACTCTAGTCAAGGGTTGTGTCACTGGACTAGCCACCTCTATACGATTACCCACCACTTGGGTGCCAAAACTATTAGCGGCTTGTTGTTCTGATCCAGCATCTAAACAGGTACTTGTGGGACAATCAACAGCATCGCTTGATCTGCGAGGTACATTGGAAAACGGTTTGTAATCAGGTGATTCAAATTCGTGACATAGTGTTAGTATAAATTCATAATTCAAAACTGTTCTTTTCATTATATCTTCACCCAGAAAACGCAAAAAAGCCAAGTAGGCACTGTGAGCCAAAGCTGGAGAAAACACATCACGTATTTCTTCTAGTTCTCTTTTGTTTTCCAATTCACTCTCCTTAGAAGGTGGACTTATACTAAATGAATTGTAATCTGTCTCGAAATTTATAGTTTCGCCGAAAGCTTTATCGAAAATTAAAAAGAACGGCCTTAAAATGGAATTGCATAGATGCTCTCGGGTCATATCAGAACCAAGGCGTACGCTTAAGACATATACGGCATCCAAAAGTTTACGTGATAAAACAGAGCGGCCCAAATAACCACTAGGCATTAGGACGTGTGTTGAGGCCAAGAAGCGGAGAACAGGCAATATAATAGAATCCAAAAATAAATCCTATAATGGAATAATAATTTTATTCGCATTAAAATAAATATAAAATTATTATGCTCACCCTTAAATGTTCCATTATGGTGGCATCTGTTAGACATGGTATCAAATATTTCAACAATTGTAAAGTACTAATTAAAGCTCCCTCCAAACTACCGGTAATACGTTTTGTACTCAATGCCACTAGTTCACTAATATGCGGGAAATATTGTAATAATATCACTTGCTCTCCATACAAAGCCGCAATAGTCATTAAGCATTCGAGAACTCGCACAGCACAACGATCTCCCACTACGCGAGCGTCCGACACAGTAAAATAATTCAAAAGATGACCTTCATCTAAAGCTCCGGATTCGGGTAAGAGATTTTCTTGACCCACATAACATAAGGTAAGCATTTTGAGTAGATTCTTCGTAATAAATCTAGAAGTCAAAACTGGTCCCAAGCGATGAGAAAGCCACACCAAGCTTTTGCTACTCATTTCGGAGATGCAATTATTCTGTAAAGATTTTTCTTCGGACATTTTCGAAATAACAGAGGCTTGTAGGGAGTCGCAGGCTTCCTGAGAAAATGACTTTGAATTTTCATCTGGTCGTTTGTCATCTTCGCAATCTGCAGCATCTGCTTCCTGTCCTTCTGCTTTGCTCTCTCTTCTCTTTTGTTTTTCTTCTTCTTCGGCGGCATTTTGTAAAATTTCAAAAGAATCAATGCTTTTGCGTGAACCAATATCACAATCGATGGTATTTAGTTGATATGATCTGCGAAATACACTAGCTGGTATTGCAATAGTTGGTGAACGTGGTCCCAATTGGCTTAGATTAACCGGTGAATCACCACTGACATTTTGACTACTTAAAGAGATTTTATCAGGTTCTTCAAAGGAATTATTCGATATTTTAGAGCCGTAGATTATTTCCGAAATGGCCAATTTTTCAGGTGTGGTATCCAGTTGGCGTTCATCGTCTTCTTTGGCTTCTTCGGCAGTAGTGGGCCTCATATCGAAAGAGTCTAGAGACCTGTTGGAGATGTGATCGGATGTTGATATCCGATCCGAGTTGGCATCGTCATCAAAGCTAAAAACATCCTCAATATCCGGCTTTAGATGAGATCCTTTATACGAATATAATGGATAATATTTTAATAAAATAATAGTAATATTCCGTTAGCTAAAATGCAATTTGGCCTTATAAAAACTTTGGTAACTACATGTGTATTTAAAAACAAATATATGAAAAGAACAAAACTTATAAAAGTAAAATTTGTTTAAACAATTTTTTCTAAATTTTGTTAGTAAGGTTCGATTGCATTTTATGTGACAATATCTATAATATGCGGATCTGAGCTTACCATCCATATCTACCGATATGGTATTATCCTCCAAATCCTCGGCCCTTTCAGGTGACATTAAAGTTAAATCCTCTTCATTACCAGCGGCACTGGTGGCATAACTGAGATTCTTACTAGTTCGTCTTCCCGTCACCGCGCTATGGTAGTGAAGTCCATTACCATCCTCTGGTTCCTTATAGCCGCCCACAGCCTCTATGAGAGGAGCAATAAAGTTGGTCAAAAAACAGTTCAACCCGAAACGTACCATCAGCCTGAGCAAAAATATCTGATGATAGAGTTTAACAGATTTTCGAGATTTAAACGAGCTGCTTGTGGAAAATCGTAAATGACCTGTATTACTTGTAATGGAATCCGAAAGAGAACGATTTCGTACAGATGTCATGCCACGTTCAAAACTCTCAACATCGTAGAGTTTCATAAGTGGGTGTAATAAAAGTTTTTGCGTTTGCACAATGCCCAGCGATTGGGCCACTGCATCGAAAAGATTCCAAGATGTCAGTATGGAAGTGTGTTCTTGTGTCAGCAGATCAATAATATGAGGTAAAAGCAAATCAATTGAGGGAAATTGCTCATAACCAATGGGATCTAAAAGGCGGCGTATATGAGCGCAGCAAGACATTACTTTACACTTGGCTATTTTACGTTCATATAAACCCGCAGACGATCGATTTCTGCATATTTCGAACAGTCCAATCCATTGCAGTGGAAATGTGTATGAAGTTCCAGGAGTACAGAGGCAAAATCAAACGATTGCAGAGATCTAATTAAGGCATAGGAGGGATAATAATTGCTGGGAAAGGGAATAAGCAGGTTATGATATATTGGCTCCAACAGCTGCTGTGCCGAAGGTAAGGGAAGTCCATTTTCCGTAATTATGTCTTGGCAATTCAAATTGAGTAGTTGCAGCGTAATGGACCTCAAACACTTTGGTATTTCGTGCTTGTTAAGAACAAATGTGGTTAAACAGGCCTTTAATCTATCCTCAAATTTCGGCGTCAAATTATGACCAATCAAAGGCCGTAGCTTGGGCAAAGCAAATATTTCCACTATCAGACAACCTAAAATTTGTAAATCCTGCAGTTTTTTCTCTATGGAATGTTGCGGAGATCTAGGTTTATGAATTGTTGGCAAGAGTTTTGTTGTTGTCAATAGCTTGGGTTTTTGTTTAGAACCTGCTGCACTTGTTGTGGGAGAAACGTCATTGAAAAGTTGATTGGTAAAACTGTGATTCTCGCTGTAGTCTTCAAACAGTAAGTCGCTGCTATAGATTTTTTCTTGAGCATTTTCAGTGGGCTTTTGCAGAGGAAAAGTTTTCGCTATGAACTGTTGAGCCGTTTCTAAAGATTGCAATTGGGCACAGGGATTATAATCCTTGGGCAGCTCTATAAAGTTGGTGGACTTGTAAAAGTTGGATGTTGTAGAAACTTCTTCGTGATTTGTAGGTATTTTAAGCGACAACCTGGGTGAGGCTTTAGAGGAAGCATTAGATTTTGTTTCCAGTATATCCAATGAATCTGAAGATTTATTAAGATTTTCTGTACTCTTGGCCAAACGCTTAGCTTCTTTGTTAAGATGTTGGCTTCTAGATTTTGAAGATTTATCTGCTTTTTTGCCGCTGGCAGGAAAGAGGTTTTGCATTCTGGGAGCCGTTTTGTTAAACCATATGGAGTTTGTTCTCTTGGCTGGATGCGGATGGGTAAATAATTGCACTATACCACGCTGGCAAAGGTTTTTATGTTGATCAACCATGGTTAGACAGACATTTTTAGATTTTATGGCTGCTTTTCCACTCAATTTACAACCAAAATTTAAGTCAATCCAGTGATGTAGTCTATCGCTGACATATTGAGATTCTAAAGCTTCGCGGTGTTTGCATATGAAATCCTCGGGGCAAGAAGCCCACGACGGAATTTCCAAATCTGGTAAGTCTTCATGTATAGACTTGAAAATCATGGGATCTGTGTAGAATTCCGGAATACATTCATCGGGAGTCCATTCCTGTAGTCTTTGTATGGAGACCGGGTATTCCGCTGGCACCCATATGGGTCTGACATGTTCCCTTAATATGTGTTGCGGATGTTCTACGAGCCATGTAAACAAAATAAGTAATTTCGGATAGAAAGTCGGATACGTGATGGGGTACTTGTGGTGTATTTGAGGGGAAAACTGATTCCAATTCTTTGTGTGATTGCTGAGCAGCATGCTGAAACATGAGATCAAGATGAATGTCACCTTTATTTAAACGATATTTACTTTTGGACAAGTCGCGCCAATTTGCTCCGTTACGAGCAGAAAAATCCGTCACCCAGGGCATGATGTGATGGTAAGAAGGGTTTGTTAGGGATCTGCCAGCAGCATTATTCAGCAGAGTTAAATAGTCATAGTTGCTTAGCAAACCATTACACCACATTTCGCAATAATCTCGTAAAGAAAACTGCTTCAAATCGTAAGAGAATTTCAAATCCAATTTTAAGTTTGAGACGGATAAATGTTCTGCCTCTTCGTTTATATGATCATATTCTAAATCCTGATGTCCTGTAGCCTCACTTGGAGAATGTGATAGAGCCTCATCCAGATATAAAGGTAAGATATTGGCCTCCAAAGAAGGCACCAGCAAAATCCATAAGTTTTCATTTAGTAAAATATCCTGTAGAAATACATCTCCCAACAGTAAACCCTGACTATGCAGGAATTTATAAAGTTGTAGTAGTTGATAGACCAGAAATAAGGATTTATTATAGTTTTTGGTCAATATAGCCGGACTAAAGGTAATGCAGTCATATAAGGAAGTCGAAATACAGGGTGGGTAGAAAAAGACGGCAAAATATGAAGAAGTCTCTATGGCCACTAAAGCAGGCATAATGTTAGAATGACATTCTTGTACCTCATCCGATTCTGCTTTTATATCCAAAGAACCTTCTCTTAAACGATCTAGTTTACAGTGTATAATAGGACATTTGTAGAACCGCATAATTAGTTCTTTTAGAACTACATCATGAGGCAAAATACTCCCAGATGGTGAAAGTCCCACTTTCATGTGTTGTTTACTCTGCTTTTCTGTCTTTAAATGAGCCTCCGGGCAGTTTTTATAATAGTTTTCCCATAAATTTTTGAAATTTGTCGCCATAACCTCAAATACAGCCTGGGAATAACTCAAGGGCATGGACTTGGCAAACTCTCCATTGACCTCAGCATCTAGAGTGGAGTTCTTTAAAGGGTACACTTTTACATTGGGCTGTTTCTTGTACAATTGCAATAGAATTCGACACCAAGGGTGTTCTAAATCTCCTTCCGGGTGAGCTCTTTTATCCAAATTTGGATATAGAGGAAAGTTAGCAATTTTCCGTTTCTTTTCTAAGATTTGCAGCCACTGCTTGTCGCATATCAATTGATAACGCAAAGGTTGATTTGTCTCAGCCACATGTTGATAATTTATGCCAATTTCCAAGCAGACTGAATCCATATTGCAAAATCCCTAAATTTTGAAAATGTTGCTGATGTGGTTATGATTGAAAACAGAAAACTTAATTATATGCAAACAACAAAGAATTTTTTTGTTATCACAGGCTTAACAAATTAATCATAGTTTTTGTTTTTCTTAAAACAACAAATAAAAATTATTTTTTCTTTTATTAAAATGAGGGGTGTTTTATTTAGCACAAATTCCTTTGTTAGATTTCACTTAAAAATATAAATGGTTTTAATTATTCCTTTCACGATAACAGGTTGTTTTTAATTATTTTTTTTTTGCTTGATGGTTTTATTTTTTTGATGGATTGTTTGTATATTTTCTTAAACAAATAATAAACTTTTACTGCAATACATAAGTAATAAAAATTTTGCACTGTTTGTCACTTTTTTCTTTTTCTTTGTAACCCAAAAAAAAAGAAAAGAAAAAATACAAATGAAGAATCAAAACAAACAGTGAAAATGACTAAAAAGGCAAGAACAAGAAAAATTTGCATTTGTAAACAATCACAATGGTGTTGAAATGTGGCATTATTGTGAATGGCTGGTAAGAAGAGAGAGAGAGTATGTTCAGTGAAGGTTGAACTTATTAAAACAGTTAATATTAGTTTAAAATAAAATTAAATTCAAAAGTAACTGTTATTTTTAATAAAAACCAATTTAATTTAAAACAGTTAAATTTAAATATAAGTATATGTAATATACATTTTTTAAATAGCTTAAATAAATATTATTATAAAAAAACTACCTTAAAATTTATTTAAGTTTATATTAAATAATGCAGCTAAACATTTTTTTTATAAAATAATATAATGTTTGTTGAATGTCAGTGTTATTTATTTTAAAATTAAATAAAAATTATAGGCTTGACCATTAATTTATCAGTCTTTCATTTAGCAATATAACACTGTAAATTTTCCTTTAACTGATCTTCATATCTGTGACATTAATTGGCAGTACTTCAAGATAATAATGTTACTTTTTGGTTCCACTTTTTATTTTTTTAGAACCGCTTATATTAAATATTTACACACGTCAATACATTTATACTAGCATATGTGTACATTAAAAAGAAAATAATTTTTTATAGAAACTAATAATGATAACGTGCCTTGATATTGTTTAAACTTGCTTCTTATATCTTGACAAAAACAAGTGAAAAAAAAAACATTTTATTCGCACAAGTTCGACCATTTAAAACCGTACAGTTGTCGCAAATATTTGAAATATTAAACGAAAGTAGTATTTGACCTTAAATTTTTGAGGGTGGTTAATATTAATTCTATCTTTTCTAAAGGATTTGTAGACTTTAAAGACTGATTCTTGCAATATTTCTAATTTTGTTATTTTGACCAATTTATGAACATTTCTGATTCAAAAACAACTTGTCGGTAATGCGAACTTATAGGAACTTAAAATTCAATAGGCTTTTTCCTTGATGAACATACATACATATGTATGTATGTATGTCGGTATATGAACAATTTTATGTTATTACCTTCAAAATTAGCACCTTTATTTTTAATACTAAGTTGACCAAGAACTATTAGCCATGCGACAGATTCGAAACAGGTGATATAATCCATTATTTATAACTGTTAAAACGATATTATTGGAGTAGGGTATATTAATACAAATCGATAATCTTTTATATGTACATACCGATTAAATTCATAACTAAAGTCAGACGATAGTAACAATATTTAATACGAAAACAATTGATATCGATTAGTATTTAATCAATTAAATGGAATTAGTTAAGAATTATGAGAATTTAGATCGATCAGTTGACAACATTATATGGCATGAATCATATATAACGTGACCAGATGGTTTTTGGATTTCTATTAAGTAACGGGATTTGCTTGAAAAATAAGGGATTTATAATTTTAAGTTTAATAGTAAAATCAAAAATGTAGTTTAAGAAAGGTAAAAGTAAAGTCTGAGATTTGTCTAATTTTATGGAGTATCTACAGACGATCTCTTCGATCCTTCGATTTCCTAAGAGAAATTTTGTGTAATAATTTTTATTTTTTCAAGTTTTTAACTTTTGATTTCTTTTTTCATACTAATTTAATTAATATTGATGAAATGCGGGATAAGAGCCTAACTAAAGTGGAACTATTTATTTTTCTATAAATACTAATTGGTGTTAACACTCGTGATATTTTTCTGACAATAGTTCATGATTTTTTCACAAGTGTACTCAATTTATACTGTGGGTTAGTAGATAAACAATTTCTTCATAATCTTCTACTAAAAAATAATTTTTAAAGAAAATTAAAAAAAGTATGAAAAAATAAACATGTCAGTCAATTAAGTGACAACTATATCAGTGAGAAATCTTGTTAAAATATGCTTTAAAATACGAAATATTTATAGTATGTATAATTGAAAACAAGTATAATTATAAAAATATTCGGCTCATGGCGAATCTTATGAACCCTATGATAAATGCTATATTTTTAATTAAAATTTTTCAGATCTATCTTTGCGCTTAGTTTATTTGGATATTTTTAAAATCACAAGCCGAAAAGTGGGCTTTATTTACTGATCACATCCTTATCCTGCACATACATACATCTGTATATATGTAAAGCCTTACCATCAGCAGGGATATAGTTTTTTTTATAATAGCGTTAGGAATTTTTTTCTTTTTTAAGTAAAACTCATTATCACAACAAAAACTATTAAGTTGTTAAATTACAAAACGAGAAAGCTTTTGATATTGTTGTTTTATTTTCTTTATATGAAGATTAGAATCCCCAAAAAATATCGTCTATTCATTAAACCAAAATTATATTGCTTCATAACAAACCTTCGAAGTATTCAAAGCTAATGGTGGACATACATGTGTGGCATATTTATTAATTAATAACCTCTATTAATAATACCTAAAACTTATGTATATTTTTAATGTAATTTAATTATTTTTTTATTTTAATTGTTTATAATTTATAAAATGATGTATTTTTCTAGATTTTTTTAATACTTTTGTTTATAAACTTATTTTTAAACGATTGATTTATTTATGCAAACCTAATAAGGTTTTTGTTTGTTTTGTTTTCCTTTTCTTTAGAACAAGTGTTCAGTATTTGAATTCTTATGCACAATGGGCTTTTTCCAAAACAATGGGAACAAAATATTTTTTTGGTGAAAACATTTGGTTGAAGAATATCATGTAGAAATCGATGCGTATTAATGTACTGAATACGAGAAAATTTAATGTACAATATGTTCAAAAAAATCTTTCTGCAATATTTTCAAGAGAGGTATTCCTACACGGAACACCCTAGTATATTTATTTGTCATTGCGGTAATACAAACTCTTTTTGTAGTCCCCGACAAACTTCGATTTAATACAACGATTTTTTTAAATCGCTTTATTTTTTAAGTTAAGTGTAAATTATTTATCAAACAAATGTGAATGTGCAAACTTCTACACGTGAAATTATTAAGAATCGAATATATAAAAATGATTGTAACGTCAAGTGTGGTGTCAATAAAAAAATTGGAATAAAATAAAACCACAATTTTTGTTTATAAAACGTGAAGTAAATATTAAGAAAACCAACCACCAACCAAAACGGAAACTCAAATCCATTGACTTCCAGATTACAATTCTGTTAGAGATCTTAAAAATTATGTTAAATGTAATTTTTAAGCGTTAAATCACTGTAGCGAGCTAATTTTACGGTCGATTTAAATACAAATATTATTCATTTAAACAATTGCTAATGGAGTCGAAAATTCTTAAATTCTATAATTATTTGTTTTATTATAAAAGACATTAAGACATTTATTTATTTATCTTAAAAATATTGCGCCTTAGGTAAATTACAAAATAAAATTGCTTTAAATATTTAATGATTTTAAAAGGAAAGAATATTTCAATATAAAATTAGAACTTTCTAGAAAATAAAATCTAAAAATACTTTCCATTTCTAAATATTTACTGCTGAGAAATTATATTTTAGAACTCGTTATTTAATAGTAAAACACTTTCCTTAATTAGTTTTAAAATAACGAAATTTTATCTTTCAAAAGCAATTCGTCGTGCTCGTCATTTTGTAAAAGAATAAAAAGATTAACATTTTTAAATAATGTTCTTTCTTTTCTTTTGATTTTTTTCCAAATAAATAAATTGTCTTTTCTTTTCCACAAATTTTTAATGTGAGAAAGTCCAGCATTTTTTTCTTGATCAGACAAAAAGGTAAGCAGTAGACCGGTTTGGTCTACTGCAAGTGTCATTTGTTTTAGTCGGTTTTTAAAATTACCTGTTTAGAAGGTGTATTATTTTAATTTTACGATAACAGTAAAGGAGCGTGAGAATTTTTTCTGAAAACATGAAAAAAACTAAAGATGAATTGAAGCTGTGAGAATGTTGTTTTTCTAAATCTTTTGTTTGGAAAAAAGAAAGTAATTTAATGTAAATAATAAATATAGATTTGTATATTTTAATTCAATAGAACGTGCTAGAATGTTTAGTAGTTTTCAGGGAAACGAGTTTTTTGTTAAATTTTGTTAGTCCAATTTTATAGGTTTTAAATTTTAAATAAAGAGCAAGATCGGCAAATATTTTTATATATACATATATGTATGTAAATAATGACAACTAAAGATAATTTCTCATTCAATCCTATGCAAATTGATTTCAAGGAAATTATTAATTAATTTTAACAAACGAATGAATATAGAGAGCAACAAATATTTTCTATTACTTAGTACCGTTTGCTTTCTATTGAAATGGACAATATTAATATACAAGAGGTTTCTCCGATTACTGTTAAACTGTGATTATGCAGAAATCCCTTTTGCGAAAATCGCTTCATGTTCTTATTAATATCGTTACATAATTATAAAATGCTGAAACGATTTTCCGACTAGCACAAAATGAAATACATATGTTCATATGTACATATATTGAATCTTTCATCAAAATAAGACTCCAAAGTCAAGGTCAAACTTATGGGAATTTTTAATAAAATTTGTATTTATTAAATATCATATAGTATTTCTGTCACAATAATCTTCATTAAATTAAAGGAATAATTCATATACTACGTATTCATCTAGATTTTTTTTGTAAAATTTTTGAAATATTTTGCAACGTTTATTATAGCTGTTATGACGTTTGCTTGCAGTTGAACGTAACTCATTCATGACAGATAGTTAGGCAGACAAGTAGAGATATTACTACTGTTCTACCACTTACTTATATTTATTTACAATGTTTTCGATTCGATGCCACTGATTTATAATTAATTTTTCTACTTCAATGCACTTGTTGCATGATTAAATATTAAACAGTTCATAAGAACAAAAAAAAAAAAGTTGAAAAAACAAATAGAGTAGAATAAAACTAAAAACACACAGG